TCGACTCGACTCGAAAAAAATGAGTTGAATAGAGTTGGTCTTTAAACTCGACTCGACTCGACTCATTCGGAACTCTACATATATCCACTTAAAGCTTTTTATACTTAATTATTCTAATCAAAGGAATCATTCCCTAATCTTTATTTAAATTTGTAAAAAAAGTTATAGTCTTAAATAAACTTATCCTTAAATCTTATTAGCTTACATGCATTACATTTTTGAACAATAATAACCTATTTGGATTAACAGATGCGTTTAATAGATTACATTTTGAAATTTTTTATAACATTGATCTTAAAACAAAAGTAGCAAATACTTCATCATCAAGATATATTCTATTACATTTATCTCCTGACTTAGTAATTAATAGTTCTATTAATAATATAATCTATTATGGATTCCACTAAAAGAATTTTTAGTGTTGTAGTGTTTAAGCTCTTTCTTATTTGGTTTGTTACTAGAAAGTGATATTTTTAGCTTAAATTAAGAATAGATTCTGGGAAAATGTAGAGTCAATCTTAATTTAGTTTAGATTAGGTAGAGATTTTTGTATTTTTTTAAATTTATATTTTGTTTATTTTGTTTATATATTTTAAATTTAACAAAAATTATACAAAACTACTGCACTAAAAAAAAAATATTTATTTTTTATGTTCACTCTTTTTTTCTTTTTTTATCAAATATATTTACTTCTTTAAATAATATTTTTCTATATTTTTAATTACTAATAGTCTATTAATTATATTTATTTATTTTTTTATATATTACTAATATTATTATCTTTTTTTAATATTTATATATTACTGATATTACTAACTTTCCTTTTTTTAATATTTTATATATTACTGATATTACTAACTTTCCTTTTTTTAATATTTTATATATTACTAATATTACTAACTTTATTTTTATATTTATTAAATATAATTACTAACATTATTAATTTGTTACTTTATTATATATTATTAATTATTTTTAAATATTACTTATTATATTTCTTTTTTTATATTTTATATTATATTAAAATAGTATTTTTTTTATTATAAAATATTTGTATTTTATTGTCATTATTATATTTTATTTAATAAATAAATAAATAATTTTAAATTAAAGTAATTTTAAATTATAAATTTAGTAATATTATGATAAATTTATTATATAAAATTATAAAAATTATATATATAAATTATGTATAAAATATACTGATAAAACATATATAATATATATAAAATTACATATATAACTTATATATATAGTATACTTAATTTACATATTTTATATATTATAATTCTGTTTTTTTTCTTATTTTATATATGTAATAATTACGTATATATTATACTTTATTTATGAATATCAAAAATGTATTATTTTATATATATTTCTGTATATAAATTTCTTATAAAGTTATAGAAAAATATTACTAAGATTAACTTATTTTTTTTAGTAATATCATTAATATAAGTTACTACTCAAATATTTTATATATAAATTATTCTTTAGTTAATCCAACTTCTACTGATTGCAAAATGGTCTTAGATAAATCTATTTAATCTTTTTAATAAGACTTAGTATTATTTTTCAGCATCTGTTACTAACACTCTATTTTTAACTAGAGCTATACTATTCATTCTTCTTACTGCTTTATTTATTTATCTATTAAAATCTCATATTATAATTTTTTAGATAGTTAAATAATAATAGATGAATTTAATAATTTTATTATAAATAGCAATCTTATAATAAGAATTAAGAGAAAATTCTGAATTATACTTTTGGATTTATATTTATCATATTGTTAATGACCTTTAGTATCAAAGTCAAAGGATACAAATTTTATGATGATAAAGCTGATAAATTAGCCAAAAATGATATTCTTAATTCTCTTTCACTCTGAATTACATTATCTTTTAGGAACTGGTATCACATTATTAAAAAAAGATAGATGTTATTTATGATTTGTTTTTCTTTTCTTTATTTAGCTTATACTTATACAGTATATACATAAAACTTTATTTAATAATGAAAAAGATCTTTATTCAACATATCATGTTTGAAATAAAAATTGTAGCATTTAGATCAATAGCAAAATATTAAAAAAAGTAACTTATTGATTTATGAAAGTATTGAAAAAATCAATTTATCAATGAACATCAAACCTTCCTTTATTGGTTTTAAATCAGGATCCCTTAAGTCTTCTAGGACATTAATGCTTTGGAAAGATGGTTTGCATAACTCTTCAATACTCAAGTTAATTTCTGAAAACTAATTAACAGTATTATTCCCATGTGAAGGCTGTATATATATTTTTTTTAGAAATCTTCATGAAATAAAGTCATAAATTGATATAATTAACATTCAAGGGAGATGATATTTCCAACCAGTTTAATAACATTTAATTATTGAAGGATTATAAAAAAAAATCTTCTCATTATGTATGCAGTAAATTATGAATGAAAAACTAAGCAAAGGCACTAGTCATATCAAAACAAATCATTATTAAAAAATATATTATAGCACAAATGCATTTAGAAACGAACAATTGTCATGGGTACGCTTATGAACACGTCAAAATTCATTATTTTTAGTAGGTTAATTTCTGCGATAAACTTTAACCAATAAAGGATCTTTCATTGGTAAAGTTACGGAATTACCGAAATCGGGAGGAGACTTTTGTCCTGGCATTATTTCGAATTGATATTTTCTTAATAATGAAGTTGTCAATGTCATAAATTCGATCGTGGCGAAATTTTGTCCGAGGCTGTCAAAAATAATTCGTTCGAGATGCTCTCATTAATAACAGGAATCGTTATAGGATCAAAAAAACTTTAGATCACCTTAAATAATACATACCATAACCTTGGACCACAATTAAAACTGACAAATTTATATTGACTTGGTTTTAATCCATTCTTATCTTTTATGAATCGTTCAGGATCAAATATTTTTGCATCCGCGCCCCATATTCTCTCATCTCTTCCCATAGCCCAAGCGGACATAATTACTAATTCACCAGCATTTACCGGTGTACCATTTGGAAGCACATCATTTCCAAGACAATACTATCATAAAAAAAAATATTTATTTATATTCATAAATTCATTTACTTACTACGTAAAAGTATTTAATATTGACGGGATTTTCTTTACCTTTACACTTCCTGGGACCGAGGGATGTAACCTTAAAGTTTCATAAAGTGTGGCTTGCACAAATTCGAATTGCTTAACGTCTTCATATTTTGGGATGGGTTTTTCATTTGAGAGTAAAGTATTTATTTCATTTACCATCTTTTGTTCAATGGCAGGATTCACCATTACATTATACATCATCCATGAGAGTGTCTGTGCGGTCGTATCGCGTCCTAAAATATTTCTTTATAAGAAAACTTTTTCTTTAAAAATAAAAAAAAAAAAATAAAAAATAAATTCAAGGATAAAAGTACCGGCAATAATCAAATTCAAAATAATGTCCCTTAATTCTTTATCAGTTAAGTATTGACCATCTTCTAATTTAGCGTTCATAAAAATATTAAGAATATCCTTTGGATTCTTCAAAGCTTTGGGATCATTTCTACGTTTTTTAATTATTTTATAGGCAAATTCCGACAAATATTTACAATTTGCACGCATTTTACGACCGCCCTCACTGAAAATTTCAGTAAATTTCCAAAAAGGGTTTAAAAATCTACCATCTATAGTTGCTTGTACGGAATCAAATGCCATTGCAAACCGTACTGGTTCTTCGGGATCCGCAAAACTGTTCTTGTCCAATCCGAATGTAATCTTTAAAAAAGTATCCAAAGTAAACCGGAAAAATAATTGTTGCAAGTCAAAGGTTTCACCACTTTGAACCTTTGCTTCCATAATGTTTAATAACTTTTTGGTATCTTCTTCAAATAATTTCACAAAAATTTTTTGCGTTAAATAAATGGCTCGCCAATTTTCGTTGGAATCTCCACATTTCTCTAGCATATACAGCATAAATAAAAACAAATAATTTATGATGATAAAGAAAAGTTCATGTAGTAAATATATTTACCCGTTAACGTTGAAAATACCATCACCTAATACATCATTCAAAGCTTCTTTAAGAAGGTTGGGTTTTATGTAATTTTCAAAATTTGCTGGAAAATTATTGAAAGGATTTGTTATTGGTTTGGACATTAATATAATAAAATATAATAACAATAATATATTATTTACTTTTCATAACATATTCTATGCATTCGGGATCGTTAATTGCAATAAGTCTACCAAATCCTAGGGAAGTAGACGTACTAAATTCGTTCAAATAGGATTAAATTATGACTTTGAGCTTTTGTTTTAATTCCAACAGCTACTTTTACAAAAGTAACTTACGCGTTTGGACCATATTTCGTTAAATTTTCGTAGTTGAAATTTGTAAATCCCTTCAAATAGATTCCAATGAGATTTCCAATTATTGGTAAGCCCCTTGGACCAACAAGATCAGGTCTTTCATTTGTACCTATGCTTTTATCCGGGTATTTTACCAATAGGTAAAGAAAAAGGCCCAAAATACCCAATAAGATAAATGTTGTGATTGATAACATTTTTAAAGATTTTTTTTTGACAAAAAATAAAAATCGTAAAAAATGAATTGTATTTAAGTTCTTTTTTTAAGTCATCCGGAAAATATATTTTTAACTCGGTTTTCGGCTAAATTGACCTTGCTATAAATATGGGAAGATTGCTAGGGAAATCAGGTTCTGGGAATTTTTTAATTTTTATTTGCATTTTAGTTTTTGATGTTATTAGATTAAAATGTAAATAAGGTAGTCAAAAAAATTCCCAGAGCTAGCAAACTTCCTTTACTGTATGTTTTTATTCAATTTGAAATACATGTGTGTGTGATATTCCCTATTTTATGTTTGATTAATCGCCAAATTTGAAATAGGACCATTTTCGGATATGAGGAAAGTATTTCCATGTTTGAAAAAAAATTTTTTCATTATAAAATAAGTTCATTGTCACAATTTAAACTTGTATGTAAATCTTCCTAAATTAGGATTTTAAAGAGAGAAGGAAGTCCTAAAAAAAAAGAAAAAAAAAGGAAACTTTCCGATAGAAACCGAAATATATATATACACACAATAAAAAAATTTTCGGCAATCAAAATGGAATTTTATTAAAAACTTTCGAATTTATTGGGAAAATCGGGTTCTGGAAATTTTTTTAATTAAAACCGAGATTGTTATTGCAGATTGTTAATCTGTCAAATTATTTTGAAGATTCATAAAATTGTGGGTTACAATATTAATAATATAAGGAAATTAATATTTAAATTATATTTGTTAAAAATACCAGGAAAGTATTAAAAAAAATGTTCATTAACAAAACCACGAGTTTTTTTTTGTTTTTCCTTATTGCAAATCCGATCTAATCTAGAATTGAACTTCATAAATTCGAATGAATTGATTTTCATCTGAAATTGGAATTCCCAATTTAAGGCACCCTTTTTGTTATCTGAATTCCAACTTCAGACGAAAATCAATAGTCTAACAATAAAGTAAATTATATTTCTATAAGTTCTTTTCTAGCAACTGCTGTCTTAAACCAGTCTTGAAAAGATGATGACTGTCCAATTCTGATTTATTTAATTATGACATTATAATCGTTACCATTAAATATTTAATGATTGAAACTTGCTAATAAAGCATCAGCAAATAATTTGGTGTGTTTTATCTATTCCCCCATAGTACTTCAAATGACTAAGAAGTTTACGTTATTTACGAGACGGCGTAGTATTGCAAAATTATTGAGACGTAGTACTTTGGCATTTATTTCTAATTGAAAATAATTTGTTTGAAATTTTTTATTTACATACTTGTGAATTAATTTAATTCATCCTTCGTTAATACTTCAATGCGAAGTACCACATCGAAGCACTCCAAAGATTTATTGAGCTGTAATAACTACGAAGTAGTATACGGAAAGTGTAAGTACTTTGCATCAAAAATTTTCCTGATGAAATGACAAAAAATTTTTATAATAAATCTATAATTAAGATTTCATTTGAAAGCTCCTTTTATTGGATTGTCTAAATAGCCTTTATTTTAATAATGTCGCTTACACTAAAGATAAAATATCTCATCATAAATGTCTTCATTCTCATAATCATTTATAAATAAATATTTACTCTCTTCATGACGTCTTATCTGGATGCAATATGCACTGATCACTTCTAATATTTTTGATTTCTAAAAATTATTTTTTTTTTATTTTCGATCATATTTATAATAATCATAATAAAAAAAAACTATTTTGTCATATAGAGCTTTTTTACAAGATTTATGATTTTATTGAAGGTTAAAGATTAAGGCTTATAAAACAACAACAATATAATCCAAATGTAGCTACGATACACCATTGATGGAATATTAATGATGTCAAGGACAGATGGATTAAATAAATTTAAACATATGTATATAGTCCCATAATTGATCGTTTTTTTCATTTAGTTCATAAATCTAAATGCTTCTCATTATTTTCTTTCGAACATTCATTCTAAATAATTTCCTTTTTTATGTTAGTGCTTTTATAAAAAAAAAATTTCCCATTACAAATAATAAAATAATAATAAAATTTTATTTTGAACACAGCTCTCTAGAAAAAAAAATTTATTTACTTTGGGATATTTTAAAAAAAAAACGTGGTGACAACATTATTTTTTATGTTACGATTATCTTTTTAAAAATTTGAATTTTTTTTTTTTTTTTTTTTTATCGGGAAAATTCTTCCTAAATATTATTAATTCACAAATTCACGATGATTAAATAAAAAACCGAATTACATGGACTACAAGCAGGTTTGATTTAATTAGTCCAGCGCGCATAACGAATCCAAATATTCTGTAACAAGCAATTTCGATGATTATGCAAATATTAACTAACTCTTCTGCACTAACCCACTTATATCTACACAATTTCTCACCATTACAGTTTCTATTATTCTCACACCATCGAATGTTCTTGTAAACGCTAAAAAAAGTTATAATAACTTTAATATTTAATATATTTAATATTAGTTAAATTCTATTATGAAAGAAGAGACTGGAATCAGTGAAAGAAAGATAATAGTTGAAAACTATTCTTCAGGACTTTAAACAGGCAAGTACTGTAAATAATTTCTTATTATAAATTAGAATTTACATTCTAATTAGTTTATAACTTGCGGAGAAATCTTGTGATCGATTGAATGCAAGGAATATAAACGCCAGGCAATATTCGAAGTTCATAATGATATATAAAATTATTATTTTTTTAAAACTTTCTAAAATTTTTAAATTAAATAGGATTTTCCTACCTTTTACATTTCTTAATTTGGCAAAAAAAATAAATAAATAAAAAATGTCTAAAGAAATTGTCTCGCATTTGATAAGTTATTATTCTTGTTCTAATCTTAAAAATATTCCGTTCTGTAGCTGATATTTAACGCAGAATAAATCACAGAATATTATCAATTGAACTTTAATGAAATTTAGTTGATTTCTTAATTGCACAATTTCTGCCTTGTTAAGGCATGTAATTAATGCCATGATTATTGAGTAATTGTGACGTTTATTTATGGTTTCAAAAGGACTCATGTAAAGTAATGGAACCGTCACTTTACACCAGAATCGGTTGACAACAAACATTCGAACAACGTTGAGTAATTATTTTGTAGATGCTTCAAAATGTAATAAATGCAATCATCTGGTAAATGCGGTGTGGTCATCTTTAAGGAACATAATTATTATTATTATTATTTTTTTTTTTTTTTTTTTTTTTTTTCACGATGCTAAATTTATCATTTCCGGAGCAAATCGAGGGGTGTTCCGTGTAAATCATCATCACCGGATTAATGCACATGGACAATTATGGTTAGGTTAGCTGCTTTGTCGATTACATTTAAATGTAATAATCATTTACTTAAATCATTGTTAAGGCAAAAACCTAATATACTACTAAACATTCGTATTAATTTTTGATTATTCGATCGTACACAATTAGTTGTTATTTTTAGCTAATTCTTCGCCCATATCCTTTTTATTGCTTATTTGACTTTCGTATGTAAAATGATCAAATTTACGTGGCAAGTTCTATAATCGACTCAGCCAGTCGTTAAATCCTTCCCGGTGACCGAGTCACGTAAAAATAATTGCTCGATTTTTTAATGGAAGTGAAAGAAGGTTACGTAATCTCTCGGATAGAATTAGCAATCTTTAACTTATAAAAATAAAGCAGACCTAACAGCTAATGAATTATAAATTTAGTTTTATACCGGCAAAACAATTCTAATAAGCTGATGTCAAGAAAATAAATAGCTTAAAGAAAGACGTCAGCACCACCAATATTCTAATCCTGCAGATCCGCATAATTTTTTTAATAAGGATAAATAATAACCTATAATTATTTTTTTTTTTTCTTTAAAAAAAAATTAAATTTTTATTTTTTTTAAAAAAAAAAAATAGGAGCTTGTCGCATTACTCAAACTTTTTAAATAAAAAAAATCTCTGATAGTTAGGTCGACCCAATAATTTTATCATAAACTTGTTTGCGATCGTTTACAAGGTTAACCGAATATATAGAAGTGTACAATAGACAATTTTTTTTCGCCAATATAAATGATGATTAAAGAAAAAAGTTAAAGAATAATTAAATAGTTAGAATTTGTATCCGATCGTTTCTTTGCAGAAACTAATTTAAATATCAAATTCAAATTCTTTTGACACATAAATTTTATCTTCCAATGATTTAATTTTTTTATTGCCTTTATCTAGAAATCATTTAAATGCATTTAATTAAGGCTAGATTTTCTAAAACGAATAAAACAACAAGAATTATATCATACCGTTATTATTTTCAATATGATCACTTTCAAATTTTCGTTTACCTTTTTAAAAGAT